AGAGATAGGGAGACAGAGAGAGAGAGAGAGAGAGAGAGAAAGAGAGAGAGAGAGAGAGAGAGAGAGAGAGGGAGAGAGAGAGAGAGAGAGAGAGAGAGAGAGAGAGAGAGAGAGAGAGAGAGAGAGAGATAGAGAGAGAGAGAGAGAGAGAGAGAGAGAGAGAGAGACAGACAGACAGACAGACAGACAGACAGAGAAAGACAGACAGACAGACAGACAGAGAAAGACAGACAGACAGACAGAGAGAGAAAGACAGAGAAAGACAGAGAGACAGACAGACAGAGAAAGACAGAGAGACAGACAGACAGAGAAAGACAGACAGACAGACAGACAAAGAAAGACAGAGAGACAGACAGACAAAGAAAGACAGAGAGACAGACAGACAGAGAAAGACAGACAGACAGAGAAAGACAGAGAGACAGACAGACAGAGAAAGACAGAGAGACAGACAGACAAAGAAAGACAGAGAGACAGACAGACAGAAAGAGGAAAATAAAGAACAAGACTCATGCAAATGTACAAAAGTACACAAGGGAATGGTCTCCCCCCCTACCCCCCTTTCCCCCACCTCCTTCCCCCTTCTCTCTCCTTCTTCTCTCCCCTTCCTCTTTCTCTCCCTCTCCTCTCATTCTCTTTTCCTCTTCCTCTTCCTTACCCCTCCACGTGAAGCGAGGAGGGAGGGGAGGGCTAATCATAGGGGGGGGGGGCTAACCACAGCGGGGGTAGGGGGGGAGGTTGTGTGCTATGACGTCATCATGTGTGCAATGTTGAAGGCTTGGTTTACAGCTACGATTGGAAGGAGGGAGATAGAGAAGGAAGAGGTAGCTGGGGAAGAAGAGAGAAAGGAGGGAGATAGAGGAGGAAGAGATAACTGGAGAAGAAGAGAGAAAGGAGGGAGATAGAAAAGGAAGAGATAACTGGGGAAGAAGAGAGAAAGGAGGGAGATAGAGAAGGAAGAGGTAACTGGGGAAGAAGAGAGAAAGGAGGGAGATAGAAAAGGAAGAGATAACTGGGGAAGAAGAGAGAAAGGAGGGAGATAGAGAAGGAAGAGGTAACTGGGGAAGAAGAGAGAAAGAGAGAAAGATAGAATGAAGAGAAAATGAAAAGAGAATGAGGAGAGAAAGAGAAGAGAATGGAGACAGAATGAGGAGAGAAAGAGAAGAGAATGAAGAGAGAAAGAAAAGAGAAAGAAGAGAGAAAGAGAAGAGAATGAGGAGAGAAAGAAGAGAATGAAGAGAGAATGAGGAGAGAAAGAGGAGAGAAAAAGAAGAGAATGAGGAGAGAAAGAGAAGAGAATGAAGAGAGAAAAAGAAGAGAACGGGGAGAGAAATAGAAGAGCGAAGGAGAAGAGAATGAGAAGAGAAAGAAGAGAACGAAGACAGAATGAGGAGAGAATGAAGAGAGAAAGAGAAGAGAATGAAGACAGAATGAGGAGAGAATAAAGAGATAAAAAGAAGAGAACGGGGAGAGAAATAGAAGAGAGAAGGAGAAGAGTATGAGAAGAGAAAGAAGAGAACGAAGACAGAATGAGGAGAGACAACAGGAGAAACTTTTTTTCGAGCCTTTGCGGTCAACAGCACTGGAGGAAACCGCAGAGTTGCACACATACTTACACACACGGTTAATCACACATGTACATGAATAAATACGTACATATACGGATACACATGCATGGGGATTCATGCACGTTCACACACAGATACACGTATACAGAGATGTAGATGCAAACTCAGGCACACACACACACACACACACACACACACACACACACACACACACACACACACACACACACACACACACACACACACACACACACACACACACACACACACACACAAACACACACACACACAATCACACACACACAATCACACACAATCATACGCACTCACAAGCACATACAAACACAAACAAATGAAAAGAGAGACTCGTGCATCGATGCCAAAATGTCCAACTCCCTGTTCTCTCTTCCGCCAGGCCTCGTCAGCAATACCCAACTCCCTGTTCTCTCTTCCGCCAGGCCTCGTCAGCAATACCCAACTCCCTGTTCTCTCTTCCGCCAGGCCTCGTCAGCAATACCTAACTACCTGTTCCTTCTTCCGCCAGGCTTTCGAGTGTCATAGCTCAGTGGTAGAGTGCTGGCTTTGCAATCGCGAGGTCCCGGGTTCGCGCCCGGCCGCCGTCCCTCTCAGTCGACTCAGCTGTGAATGAGTACTGATATGCTGACGTCAGCATGTCGGGGTCAAAGTCGGGGCGGAAAGGAACTGGCCACCCTACCGCATCATCCCGCGGCCTAGTAAGCGTGTTTCTCTGCGAACATGTCCCCTACGTCTATGGACATGGGACTTAAAAAAAAAAGAAAAAAAAAAAAAAAAAAAATCCTTGTTCTCTCTTCCGCCAGGCTTTCGTCAGCTCGGGGACCAATCTGCAACTGTCCTTCACCCCAACCCAAGGCGGTTACTCACCCGACCTCGACTTCAACAAGGATCCTGGCAAG